TGTGGGGGGAAAGGAGCCGTGGGGGAGGGGTCATAATGTCGGGGGAAAAACGGAATTTCAAGGTTAAAGTTTTACATTTTCCCCAAAAAGAGTTTTTTTTTCTGTATAATGATTTTTTTTTTTATTTCAATGTGCAATTATTGTTTCTTGCAAATAATCCGAGAATATTCTGTATTTTTTCTGTGAAATTTAAAACTTGAATCTGAATTTCTCGTAACTTCAAAAGATCACATTTGGGAGCATTTTCTGACATTTATGATTGAAATATGACCTTTACGATTAATCCATTATAAAATATTTAATTGTTCCGGCTTTTTAAAAACAGGTATTTCTCGGTCATGATTATTAATTGTTTTTAGGCTAAAATGTTATGAAAGTTTGTTTAAAATGAACCTTTCTATATGAAATAAAATCAGTGGCGGTCGATCGATACTGGATATTACTTCTGTTCTGATGAAGACATTTATAAAACTATTTCATTATAAAACGGACTCTTTGTTTTACAGGTCTTTCACTTCTTAAACCCCCAATGATCCGATTCCCTGGAGAGTCGCTCAGAAAACTGATTATTATTGGAGCTATTTTAAAGTTGTTTGTTTTATGAACAAGTGGTTGATTTACAGATCTTTTTTAGCTGAAAGTCCTCACGTTGTGCTCTGAATAAGGACCGTTAGGCATTTTCTTGCAGCAGGAACAGAAACAGAAGAAAAGTCCTGGACTTCTGAGAACAGAACAAAACAGGAAAATGAAAAACAAGAAATATAAAAAGAGGAAATTCAGAATGCCTGTCTGCTTCTGTCCGACTGAAAGCTCATTTGTTCAAATATCTCCGATCAGATTTCAGATGTTTCTCAGACTTCCTGCAGCAGAAACACGTCGTCATGAATCTGTAGGAGGTTAGAGATCTGGACCCGGGTTAGAAAGTGAAGGCAGAGACCATCCTGAAGAGAAACTCAGTTCTTAACGAGCAGGAGGTTTAAAGAAAGGAGAGGACACAGGACACAGGACAGGACACAGGACAGGACACAGGACAGTCCGAGTCAGATGAGAGTTCGTAGCATCAGAACAAACCTCATTTAACGAGCGGAAGGTTTTAAGATCTTGACTTCATAAACAAACTAGAGGCCGTTTCCATCTTGAATCCGATGAGTCCGTAGCATCAGAACAAACCTTGGTAAACAAACTAGAGGCCGTTTCCACCTTGAAGTAGAAACACCGAATCATTAGAGTTCATAGCGGCGTCAGATCCCCCACAATGCCCCTCTCCTCTACTCTTTCTTCAGGTGAGCGTCTTGGCACCGGCGCAGGTATGTATTGTAGAAGAAGTTGCTGAACAGCATCAGGTAGCTCCCGTACATGACGGCGGCGCAGCCGATGTTATCGATGCGCGTGGGGCAGTCTGCGCTGTTCATCCATTTATAAACCAGCGCGCTGACCAGCAGGCCCATCGCCATCTGTCCGATCTGAGCGCTGGTGATGATCACAGCGAGCGGTCGAGGGACCTTTAGCCCTGCGGCGCGAGCAGAGTAGTAGCTGTACATGAGAGCGTGCACGGTGAAGTTCATGGTCATGAACCAGCCACCGCCCGCCACCATGTCCTTGTAGGAGTACCAGGAGTAGAGCAGCACGGTGATGTGATGGTACCAGTGCAGGAACAGCAGCTTCTGCTTCCTCAGCACCACGAAGGCCGTGTCGCCTGGCAGAGAGGGGGTCAAAGGTCAATGACTGCACTCACATCTCTTTATCCAGTCTGTTCAACCCAGTCTCACAACAAACGTGTAATAGCTACGTTTGTCCACAGGGCGAAACTTAGCTATTACTGGGTAGGTCTGTCCGACCCCTCAAAGCTCTTTACATGCTACGAGTCATTCACACATTCAAAATGTCTAGAAAGATGTCCTGAAGATTTGGGAAAAGCTGCAGAAATATATCCAACACAAATGTTAGAAGTGGCAGAAATATGACTCGAAGCTTTAGTGAACAAATGTGTGTAAAGGTCCTTAAAATGACCAAACCTTATGAGAGGTTTAATCAAATATAAATATCTAATTTATATTAAAAAACATGACTTTATAATCTGATAATATAAAAGAAAATAAATGACTTAATCTAATTACTGATCGTAAACATGTATAATAAATATAAACGTACCCAGCTCCGGGGCCTTGCTCAGCACGAAGGCGTACGCCCAGAACTTGCTGACCGGTCCGTAGTAGAAGCTCTGATCACAGATGGAGCGTCTGAAGCCCTGGAGACTCAGGATGTGAACCATGTAGGAACTGGTCCGCACCGCCCCGATGATACTGCACACACAAACACACAGAGACACACACACACACAGAGACACACACACACACACAGAGACACACACACACACAGACACAGACACACACACACACACGTTTAGTTAAAGACCTGGTAAAACATTGAAGATTCAAGGCTTTATCATCATGTGCTCAGCAG